ATATATATATATATTAGTTCTTCGTTTATCACGGGTGTTTGGGTCCACACCCACCCGTGATAAGAGAAAAACTGCTAAGTAGGAATACAGTAGTTCAAGTTCAAGTTCAGTTCAAGTTCAGTAAACTTTGTCATGACGTGCCAGCCACTCATCACCTGTTACTCCCAGTCTCTCTCCTTAAATAAACAATTTAAATTTAATACTGTAACATTTTAAATAAACAATCCGTTGTTTATTTAAAATGTTACAGAATTTAAATTGTAGAGAAGAGAAGTGCAGCAGGACATCAAAGGGATGTCACACAGCTTCAGCTCTGCAGCACGGAGCAGAAATGTACTTCTTGATCACTTACACTAAAACAGCTGAACATGAAGTTCTAAAATAATAAAAAATAACTTTTAACATTTTTATATTTTGTGATTATGATGATTTTACCATGTGACACTTTGAATTTTAAGATGGAAAACAAAAGTTGATCAGTGCATTTGGACAGCAAAGGGTTAACCCTTCACAAAGCTGCAGCAGGAGAAATGTGTGTGTGTGCAGCAAAGAAGGAGATCAGCTGATCAGCTGCAGGAGGGAGCTTTCCCTGCACTTGTGGGCTGCATACATGGTGCAAAATCATTTCAAATAATTTATTTAAAGTAAACCCATGGCTCATCCATCAATCAGCCAATTGTGTCATGACCAATCTTATTTTGAAAAACCGCGATAGAGAATCTGCAAAAAATGAACTGTGAAGTAGCGAGGGACTACTGTATATATATATATATTAACTTTATTTTTCAGGGGTGTTGAGTTAAAATTTAGGGGTGCTTGAGCGCCCACAAAAAGAGGTTAAAATCGCCACTGCACCCTGGACAGGAGTCCAGTCCATCACAGGGACACATAGAGACAAACAACCATTCACTCTCTCACTCACACCTAGAGACAATTTAGAGTTACCAATCAGCCTAACATGCATGTTTTTGGTCTGTTGGAGGAAACTGGAGTACCTGGAGAAAACTCACACGTGCGGAGAGAACATGCAAACTCCACCCAGAAAGGTCCGGGATTTGATCAGGTGACCTTCTCGCTTAGAGGCAGCAGCTCTACCAGTTGTGCCACTGTGTCGCACTAGTAGATTTGTTTTCAAACTTTTTTTCTTTTTCTTTCTGGTACAATGAGAAATTGTAGAAAATGGCTTTTAGCATCAGAATTTCTCGGTGCAGCCATGGGGCGAGGGATTCTGGTTTTGTGGCCTCAGGATTCCACCTCTGCTCTTTGCAGATGATGTGGTCCCGTTGGCGTCGTTGTGACGTGGTCTCCAGCTCTCGCTGGAGCGGTGATGCGGCTGGGATGAGAATCAGCATCTTCAAATCCGAGGTCATGGTCCTCAGTCGGAAAAGGGTGGATTGGTCTCTTCAAGTTGAGGGTGAGGTTCTGCGTCAAGTGGAGAAGTTCAAGTATCTCGGGGTTTTGTTCACGAGTGAGGGAAGAATGGAGCGTGAGATTAACAGACAGATTGGTACAGCATCTGCAGTATTGTGGACTTTGTACCAATCCGTTGTGGTGAAGAGGGAGCTAAAGCTGTAAGGCAAAGCTCTCTATTTACCGGTCGGTCTATGTTCCTACCCTCACCTATGGTCATGAACTCTGGGTAGTGACTGAAAGAATGAGATCGTGGACACAGGTGGTTTAAATGTTTCCTCTGCAGGGCAGCTGAACTCTCTCTTAGAGATAGGGTGAGAAGTTCAGTTATCAGGAGAGACTCGAAGTAGAACTGCTGTTCCTCCACATGGAGAGGAACCAGTTGAGGTGCTTCAGGCATGTCTGACTGGGAGGAGACCCCGGGGAAGACCCAGGACATGCTGGTGAGACTATGTCTGTCGGTTGGCCTGATAATGCTTTGGAGTCCTCCCAGAAGAGCTGGAAGAGGTGGCTGTGGAAAGAGATGTCTGGACCTCCCTGCTCAAGATGCTGCCCCCACGACCCGACTTCAGAACAAGCAGAAGATAATGATGTATGTATGTATGGATGGATAGATGATGTATGGATGGATGGATGGCTTTTTGCATCATTATCCTAACTTTTAGTTGATGACTTGAGAAAAGTGTCCAAAAAATAACATATGTAGACCTGTACATTTATTGTAGCAGCAATGAAAGAACCCTTCATCCCCCCCCACTCAAAACTTGATTTTTTTCTCCCAGCTAGTCACCATAGGTTTCATTAGACTTTTTACAAAAGTCCCAGCATCCTCTATATTACCAGTTCAGATTGGTGAGTTTTGTTACTGAACATCTGTTTATCCATCATTAAAATCTATCACTCCTTTACTTTAGATCACTTGTCCTTTTTTATTAAGGTTTAAATACTGATTTACATTTAATTTTGACCTCATTTCAGATACATTAGTATTCACATTAGTATTCTGACTTGTTCACCTGGTTTTACCCACACGTTTTTTTTACTTTTATTTCCAGGACATATTGTTTCCTTTTTAAGTTCTGAGGCTTTGAAGTTTTTCTTGGTGTACAAGTATGATTCATTTCAGTAACTTTATGCTATTATCTTTGTTGTATTTGTCTGTAAAACTGTTCCTTTAACTACAACAATTTTCTATTTTTAAACATGTGACATGTTTACATATGCAAACATATACTTGGACAACATAAGTAAATGAACATCTTCTAAGTGAGGTGATTCCACATTTTGTCAGACATTTTAGAAAACAGACATCGCAAGTGATTACCGGTACTCACCTTCAAAGTTTATATCAGCTCCATATCGCAGGAGGATCTTGGCCGCGTACACTAGTCCCCGCTCTGCCAGTTTAAACAGGGCGTAGCTGATGCCTTCCACAAACACGTCAGACTGGGCCTCCTGCTCCAGAAACTCCACTAACGAGCTACACCGACTGGACTCAACCTCAGGACTTCTGACAAGAGAGAAAACAAATGATTCAACCAAACCTTTAAAATGCCACCAGTGGTGCAATGCATTGGTTGAGATATTACCAGGGGTGGAAGTAACAAATTACAAATACTCACATTACTGTAATTAAGTAGGTATTTTGGGTACTTGTACTTTTATGTGTATTTCTTTCAAGTGTGTAATTTACTGGGGGGAGTGGTGGCGCAGAGGTTAGAGAGGTGGGCTTGTGATCCGAAGATCGCCGGTTCACGCCCCACTCTGGGCCCATGAGCAAGGCCCTTAACCCCCACCATGTGCTCCCTAAACAGGTCTCTCTTGAAAATGAGTTCTCGTGGCTCAATGAGACTAACCTGTATAAATAAAGGCTAAATGAAAATGAAAAAAACTCATACTTAAGTACAATTTAGACCATGTAATCTACTTCACTACTTTTAAAATCAGAAGTCACTACTGAGTACGGCCACAATCTGAATTAACATTCAAACCGTTCATCTGCTTCTTTGTAGACAATAAGACTCTCAGATCATGAACGCCAATTACCTATGACGTAAGCAAAGGACAACTCCGTAAAGTAGAGAGTCATTTATGGGCCGAAGATTTGGAGAAAAAGACAAAATGGAGACAGAGGACAACCCTGTCAACAGAGAAAATGACGAGGTAAAGGCTGAGGACGAGTGCCCATGGCCGTACCTGGAGGAATGTTTCATGTACAGAGGGTGAAAAGGAGACAGAGTCCAGATGTAAACTTTATTTGATCTCTACGGTGACAGCAGCTCACAAGACTTCAATCTAATCTCTAAAAACATATTGTGGTATATGAGGTTTTACAGCTACCTGTATGATCTTGCTTTTTTATGTGACCCAAAATGGAAGAAGCGGGTAAAAGATAATGGATGGATGGATGTGTGTGTTATTAGTTTGGCTAAGTATTCAAAGATCTCACTGCCATCAGTTTGCCTGGTACTAAAATAAGACGGAGATTCTGAGAAATGTACTTTGAATGTAACTATTATAAACAGTAAATAAACTGAATGACTTCTATGGACAACACAATAAAACATCAACCGGTTAAAAGCTAATTAATACTCTGAGTACTTTTGAGGAGGACTTTGTACTTTTACTTAAGTATTTTCATAACATCAGTACTTTTACTTGTAACTGTACTCGTACTTGAGTAAACATTTTCAGTACTGACTGTCCACCTCTGGACATTACCATATATTGCACTGTAATGCTTTAGTCAGTTTTCAGGTGTCACATAAACAGTCAATAGAAAGCAAAAGTCACTTTTACCTGTTGTCTTGACTGCCATCTTCTTCGTCGAGTCCAACAATCCGCATGACAGCATTTACAAGCGGTTGATATTCGTAAATAATCCTTCGAAACCCATGAAGGAAAGGCATGGCTCCTCCACCTTTAATTTAAACACCGTCGGAATCTAAAAGACGAACAAGCACAAGTTTTCAGAGCCGCGAAGTCATGTCAGGCTTTATACATACACCTGCTGCATGCTTTTAATTTGAACAGTATAACTTTACATAATAACGTGCTGTTAAAAGAACGCTATATGTTGCTCTCATTGCAGAGTTCGGTTTTAACAAACAATGTCTGACAGGTTTACGATACATCCCAGCTACAGCTAATGTTAATGCTAGCTTCGCATAATTTACATGCCGACTTTTATTATTAAAACCGATTTCAATCATTACTTAAAAAGTGGATAAAACTCATAAAAATTGTGAACAACCAAATAGTTACTCACAAGATCTGTTATCTTTTTTTTTTTTTTTTGAAAGCCGGAAGTTGACCTCACGCCAATAACAGTCCTACGCTGATTTTATTCCCATTAAAACTGAAAACTAACAATGGTTCCGTGTCACAATAATAATGATGATAATAATAATAATAATAATAATAATAATAATAATAATAATAATAATAATAACAATAATAAATAAATAAATGAATTGAAGACAAAAAAAATCTCCATGATATATTTCGTGTTTAAGGGAAAAAATTATTATTAACATTTTAACAAAACACCTTCCACTAACATTACATTTGTATGTTACATTTGTCTGTTGCTATTAGATAAATTAAAAACAAAATGCAAGTTCCAACACTGTGAACAATTCACTAATGAAAAATATAGTTTATTAAGATCATTAATGACAGTGGGCAGTATGGTGGTGCAACTGGTAGAGCTGCTGCCTCTCAGCGAGCAGGTCCTTTCAAATCCCGGTCCGGGGGCATTTCTGGGTGGAGTTTATGGAGTATGGGTGGAGCATGCTCTCTCCGTGCATGCGTGGGTTTTCTTCGGGTACTTTGGTTTCCTCCCACAGACCAAAAACATGCATGTTAGGCTGATTGGTAACTAAATTGTCCCTAGGTGTGAGTGAGAGAGTGAATGGTTGTTTGTCTCTATGTGTCCCTGTGATGGACTTGTGACCCATCCAGGGTGTACCCCGCCCCTCGCACAGTGATTGCTGGACATGGGCACCAGCGACCCCCGTGACCCTAAATGGAGGACGCATGTAAAAAGTAATGGATGGAAATCTGTATGTCTTTTTGTGGCTGTCTATTGTTGTTGCTGTTGTCCATTGTTGTCATTGTTCTTTGTTGAAATCAGTCTCTCTTGTAAATGAGTCCTCAAGGCTCAATGGGATTTACCTGTCTAAATAAAGGTTGGATGAAAAAGAGGACATGGAAAGAGCTGGTTGCTGGTATTAAGAAGGCCAAGGCCACATATGCTCAGAGGATCCAGGGTCAATTCACCTGACAAGACCCATGGAGCATGTGGAGGGGCATTAAGTATAAAAGATTATAAAAGCAGAAGTGAACAATGCCTTAGAGACCCATCACTGCCTGATGCCCTCAACAGGTTCTATGCACGCTTTGAAGACCCGAACAGACCACCCAGCACCAGAAGAAGAGCCTCTCAGTGTGACCTCAGCCGAAGTAAGGAGTACTTTCAGGAGAATTAACCCTCACAAAGCAACCGGCCCAGATAACATCCCATGGAAGGTGTTGAAAGAATGTGCCGATCAGCTCTGTGAGGTGCTGGCCGACATCTTTAATTCCTCACTTATCCTGGCAACAGTTCCCACATGCCTGAAAACCTCAGCCATCATCCCAGTCCCAAAGAGCTCTACAGTGACTGGTCTGAATGTCTACCGACCAGTGGCCCTCACCCCGATAGTCACTAAATGCTTCGAAGAACTGGTCATGACCCACATCAAAACAACTATCAACATCAATGAGGACCCTTACCAGTATGCATACCGCAAGAACCGATCTCCAGAAGATGCCATCTCCTCTGTGGTACACACTGCTCTCACCCACCTGGAGCAGAACGACTCCTACGCCCATGTGCTCTTTGTGGACTTTATGCCTGCCTTCAACACCATGATCCCCCAAACCCTGACGGACAAACTACTCATACTAGTACTAAGGCCCTCCATTTGCAAATGGGTCCTAGACAAACAGACCACAGTCTGTGAGGATCCACAACTTCTCCTCCTCCACCATAACCCTCAGCACTGGCTCCCCTCAGGGATGTGTGCTGAACCCTCTCCTGTTCACTCTGCTCATGTATGACTGAGCACCTACCCATCCAGGCTGTCATATTTTTGCAGAAGATACAGCAGTGGTTGGATGCATCACAAGCAACGATGAGTTCAGCTACAGCCAGGAGGTGGAACACCTGGAGAGCTGGTGTAAGGAGAATAACCTTCACCTCAATGTGAAGAAAAGACAAAGGAGATAGTCGTGGACTTCAGAAGAAACAATCCCCCACCCCCACCCCCCGAACATAGGAGTATCTGTGGTGGAAATGGTCTCCAGCTACAAGTACTTGGGTGTTCACCTGAATGACAACCTCAGCTGGGACAACAACACCACCAGCCTGATCAAGAAAGCTCATCAGAGACTCTACTTCCTCCGGCAGCTGAGACAAGCTGGTCTGGGAAGCTCAGTCCTCACCTCCTTCTACAGGTGTGCAGTGGAGAGCATCCTGTGCTCCAGCATCAACATGTGGCATGGAGGCTGCACAGCTGCAGAAAGAAAAGCTTTGCAGAGAGTGGTGAAGGCTGCACAGAAGATGTTGGAGTCAGTCTCCCCACCATCACAGACATCTACACCTCTAGATGCAGGAAGAGGGCCACCTGCATCTTGAAGGACACCACTCACCCAGCACACACACTTATTGCCCCACTCCCCTCAGGAAGGAGGTTAAGGAGCATTAAGTGTAGAACCATTAGACTGAGGAACAGCTTCTACCCTGAGGCTGTTAGACTCATGAATCTCTAACTAGAATAATCACTGTGAAGAATCACATCATGTTGCTGCTGATCTGTTTTATGTTGCTGCTGATCTGTTTCATGTTGCTGCTGATCTGTTTTATGTTGCTGCTGATCTGTTTCATGTTGCTGTGTTCATTTGTACTCATCTGCTCACACAGACTCATGTGCGTGCTGCTGTACGGTGTATTGTTTTTTTGCTGCTAGTACTTGGCGTATTTTTATTAGCGTTTTTCTTAGTTCTTGTCTTAGATCTTATATTTTAATACTTTTGTTGGATGTAACAGGGATCCTGTGTAAATAATTTTGTTCCACCACATTTATCACATGTGGTGGAATGACAAATAAAGAACCTTGAATCTTTGAATCCTTAGGGCCTGAAGGCAGCAGCACTAAGTTCAAGGTCAAATAAATGATAAAATACAGATATAAGTGCAGGGTTTAAAGAGAGAGAGAGAAAAAAAACATCATAAAACACAAAGTACCTGTTCAGCAACATCAGCCAAGCTTAAACAGACAATAGGAAGTGAACTTGTTAAGGACAAGAAGCAAAATTCAATCTAGTCAGCTTCCCAACCCTTCGTCACCTTTTGGCTTCAACTAAGATCAGATCTTGAAGTTGTAAATACAGGTGGTTCCACGCTGCAAGGGCAGAGAACATAAAGGCCTGTTTGCTGAGTTCAGTGGAGATCTTCATGACAGCCAGTAAGAGGAAGTTATTTGAGAGCAGATAATAATTGTTGGCTTTAAATAAAATGTAAAGATAGGAGAGAAGCAGAGCAAGAATGGAATTATAACTTAAGTGATCAATGTATGAGTGTACATGGTCAGAGAAGATCACTGAGCTCTGACATGGTGCAATGATGTGTCAGACCTTAGCTTGCACCCTGGAAACAACTGCAAAGCACTCTGGGAAACTGTGCATTATAATCATCAAGGTTCATGCTCAGTTATCAGTGTGCATTATCAAGCACTGAGCAACATGTACAGCAAGTCACCATAGTCCAGCAGAATGATGTAGTCTTCTGTATGTTTTTCTGGAAGCAACGGGCAATATTTGTTTAAATAAACAAATAAACAAGCAAATAAATAAATAATTAACTTTGCCCATTTCACCAAATATTTCTTCATTTTCAATGAAAGCATTTTGTGTTAAAAACCGCTCCTTTTTTTTCTCACGAGGCACAATTAGTGCACAACAAGCTTAATAAAGTTTTTTTTTTTTTAAATACATCTATTCCATCAACAGCATCTGGTTTCCAACATTTGCTTTTTGTCCCGCTCAGCAAACAAAATGGAGTCCTGCTGCTTCAGAGTTTATTGACAGATGGCTTCCTTTGAAAACTACTGAGAAGGGCTTTTCCTCAACATGACATTAAAAAAAAAACTTGTCTTGTAAACTCTGTTAGCTACAGAGCGTTTTAACACGGTAGTTGTTTTGTCTAACTTCACTTGTGGATTTAATGAAGCAAATGTCCTACTAAAGAAAACTCATTTCATTACAACAAATCCTTGTTCGAAATTTCAGATTAGACTTTTAATTGAACTGTGAATTGAAGGAAAACTCAGAAGAACACTGGCAAAGAAATGAAAAGCCCCACATTCCTGGCAGGAACATAGAGGGTCTGTTGACGTTCATGTCAGAGCTTTAAACGAAGATCATCTCACAATGAGGAATATAGTTGAGATTAGTGGATGTTTAAAGCCTTAAGAATAACAAGATGTGCAATCTCCTGTTATACTGTGAGATGTCACTCTCAGAGTGTGCGTTGGGAATGACTCTCAGCTACAACCACATCCAAATTTAGCTCAAAAATCTGTAAATCTGACTGAGGTAAAACCATTTTGTGTTGGCTAATCTTTATTAGCTGTGGCAGCCATCTTGAATCAGATAGACTCCAAATGTTTATCAGTTATAGATGTGCATCAAATGATTGCTTTCTGAAAATGTCATTAAAATCGGCCCTGTGGACATTGAGATACTTTGCTAACAGACAAACGAGGTTGGCTCAACAAGCAAAGATCCTACACAATGATGAGCACTTGTGCTGTGAATGACTTCCAGCTACAACTACGACAAATATTAGTTTAACGTTTGTAAAACTGACAGAATTATAGGCATTTTTGTGTTTTCTAAAGTGGCTGTGGTAGCCATCTTGAATTAGATTGGGTCCAAACATCAATCAGTTGTACATGCGCATCTTCTGAAAACTTTATACGAGTTTGAATAAAATCTGTCCAGTGGTCCATTAGATATTTTGCTAACAGACAAACAAGGTTGGCTCCAACAGTTAATGTCCACCTTTTAAGCCATGATCTGGCCTAACAGTCAGTGCTCAGAATATTTGTTTGGGATCAGTCTCAGCTACTACCACACCAAACTGTAAGTCTAACTGACTGAGTTAAAACTGCTTATGTATTTAAATGTCAGATTGCTGAGGCAGCCATTTTGAATTGACTCCAACAGAGAAAGAGTTGTAGATGTACATCCAGTGATGACTCTCGGCAAGTTTCAATTAAATGTGTTCA